CAAGTGCTCGCCGATCGATTGTTTTCCCAACCATCCTGTGGTGTTGGGCCCTCGCTTTGAAGAAACAGCGTCCCGCGTATTCTCTGCTCTCCTCTTTCCTCCTCCCTCCTCCCGTCCCTGCCTCTGCCCTCCGCAAGTCTCTGCTTGAATACACCCCTCACACGTTTCGTGACCCCCATAGGAGCTCCACCGAAGGCCCCCGTGGCGCAGCCCGCATGCGTCCCAGCCACCCATTTCGGCACACCCTTTCTCACGCTTCGTGGCCCCATAGGTGCTCCACCGAAAATCCTGGTGGCACAGCCCGCATGCGTCCCCGCCACCTCTTTCGGCACACCTTTCATACGTCCCGTGGTCCCACAGGAGCTCCACCGAAGGCCCCACTGGTGCTGCCCGCATGCGTCCCCGCCACACATGTCGGCACACCACTCACACGCTTCGTGGCCTCAGAGGAGCTCCGCCGAGGTCCCCGATGGCGCAGCCCGCATGCGCCCCCACCGCACATGTCGGCACACCCCTCACACCCTCCGTGGCCCCAGAGGAGCTCCGCCGAGGGTCACAGTGGCGCAACCCGCATGCGTCCCCACCACACACGTCGGCACACCCCTCCCGCGTTTCGTGGACCCCCATCGGAGCCCAACCGAAGGCCCCAGTGGCGCAACCCGCATGCGTCCCCGCCGCATATTTCGCCACACCCCCAACACCTTGCGTAACACCATAGGGCGCTCCACCGGGGGCCCCAGTGGCGCAGCCCGCGTGCGTCCCCGCCACCTCTTTCGGCACACCTTTCGCACGCTTCGTTGCCCCATACGAGCTCCATCGAAGGTCCCAATGGCGAAGCCCGCAGGCGTCCCCGCCACACATGCCGGCACACCCCTCACACCTTTCGTGGCCCTGCAAGAAACTCCGTCCAAGATCCCACTTGCGCAGCACGCATGCGTCCCCGCCACCCATTTTGACACACCCCTCACACGTTCCGTGGCTCGATAGGAGCTCCACCGAAAGTCCCCGTGGCATAGCCCGCATGCGTCCGCGCCACCGATTCCGGCACACCTCTCACACGTTTCGTGGCCCCATGGAAAGGCACGCCCTTCACCCGCTTCGTTGCTCCATAGGGAACTCCACCGAAAGCCACACCGGCACAGCCCGCATGCGTCCCCCGCAGACGCTTCGTGGCCCCATGGGGCGCTCCACCGAAGGCCTCAGTGGCTGTGCCCACATGTGTCCCCGCCGTCCATGTCGGCACACCCTTCACGTCTCGTGGCCCCACACGGAGCTCCACCGAAGGACCCAGTGGCGCAGTCCACAAACGTCCCCACAACAGATTTCGGCACACCCCTCACACGCCTCGTGGCTCCATAGGGAGCTCTACCGACGGCCCCAGTGGCGGCGCCCTCACGCGTCCCCGCCACCCATGTCGGCACACCCCTCACACGTGTCGCAGCCTCACAAGGAGCCCTTCCGAAGACGACACGCACAGCAGCGTGATTCGCGACTGCACAGGCTTGGGCCCTTCGCCGAGCCGATCTCTCTTCGGCCCGCAGCTGCCGCAGTGGAAATCGAGATCGCCAGTCGACCTTTTTGCACAACACTGAGCCGTCTTCCGCAAGGCACCCGGCTCGCGCCTGCGGCTATAGCCGTGCCCTCGGGCGTCGGTGCTGCCCTCGTGGCGGCGGCGGCGGCGCTCTCGGCGGGCAGCTGCCGAGGCCGCCGCGGCCGCGGCGCGGCGGGGCTGCCGCTCCCTGGGCCCGCCGCGCGTGCGCCGCCCGAGTGGCGAGCGTCGCCCAGGAGGCGGCGCCCGGCTCGCAGGGCGCCTCCCACGAAGCAGCGAAGAGAGGAGCGCGCGCACGGGCGCCCTGCCGATCCGCGAGGGCCGAGCGCCACGGCGGCCGAGGGCAGCGCCTGCGCCAGCGGCCGCCGACCTCGCCGCCGAGGGCCCCGGCGGCCCCGGCGAGGGTGAAGAGGCAGGCCGACGGCGCGCCGAGACGCTCGCGCCAGGCTCTCTGTGGCCAGCGCCGCGCGGGTCGGGAGTCAGCGGATGGCGGCCACGAACTTGTGCGCTGCCGCCGCCGCCACCAGCTGCAGGGGCAGGCCCCGCAGCTTCGCGAAGGCATGCTTGATGCTCCGATGCCCTCGCTGGCGCCCTCTGCCACGGTGCCCGCGGTCGGCTCGGCGAGCGGCACCGCGTGCGGGACCTCCTGCGCGATGCCCTCGCCTTCTGTGCTCAAAGCCTCGTGGTCGGTGCCTTCGGTCAGGGCCTCCGTCGCGGACGCCGTGCCGTCGCCGTGCCGCACTCCTCCTCGAATTCGATGCCCCGCTCCTCGGATTCGATGCCCACGACCACCGTGCCCTTGAGCGGCTCGGCGAGCGGCACCGCGTGCAGGTCTTCCTGCGCGATGCCCTCGGCCTCCGTGCTGGTGCCCAGCGCCCCGTGCTTGATGTCCGGGGCCTGGCCATTTCCCTCCGGCACGATGCCCTCGGCTGCGGCGGGCGCGATGGGGCCGCGCCTCGGGCCGAGGCGGCCGACGCGGCCTGCGCGCCCGGCGTGGCCGCCGCCGCGGGCGGCTGCCAGGCGCGCTGGATCGTCTCGCAGCGCCGCTGGCCAGAAGCGCGCGTCGGCCTGCGCCGGGCGCAGCAGCGCCTCGGCGGCCCACTGGGACCGCAAGCTCCCCCGCTGCCGCTGTCGCCGCGCACATCGGCAGCCACCGCCGCGCGCACAGTCTCAGCAAGAGGGGGGGGTTCTGACCCAGGCCTCGAGCGAACGCTGTGACATGATGGTGGTGCTGAGGATGATGAGGATGACTTGTTGGTGTTCCAGCAGCGCAGGGCGGAGGATGACGAGGGAACGAAGCAGCCGAGGAAGAAGACAGGGCCGACTGGGAAGCAACGACGACTCCGGAGCGCAGAATCGGCAACGCGGGAGGGCATTGTCACGAGAGAGAGAGAGGGAGAGGCAGCCCGTCGAGGAGCTAATTAGGAGCGCCCCTGACGCCGCCGGCATTGCGCCAGGCCGTGGACAAACCCAACTACAGCCTCGTGAGGCGTCGGTCCAGCGTCTGCGCTGGCCTCCTCGCGTGTTCTCGCAGCCGCGCCCCCTGCCACGGCGCCCCGCGAAATGCTCTCACGCTCCATCGGCTGTCTGCGCACACGTGTATCTTGTCGGTCGGCGTCATCTTCGCTTCTTTGAACACCACGGTCCAGTCCTCTTTTTCGAACCTGGAGGCGAGCTCCTCACTCATGTGCGCGGCACGCTGGATGTAAGACATCAAACGACTCGTCCGGCCAGCGTCCCACATGTACAGTGTTGCGCAGCATGCTGCGCTGCGTCGTGCGGAGTTTCTTTTCCACGTCGGCAGAACGACCAGACGGGAGGAGAAGAGGCAAGCGACACGAGACAGACGAGACCGAGACCTCAGACATCAGGTCCAGCAGCGCCTGTCAGCCCAATTCATTGAGCCACCTGCCAATGCCAACGTCAGCGGTGTGCCAAAGATGCGGTTCACCAAAAAAGAAGACGCTGCGGCTAGGACCAGCATCACGGGGCTTGCAGCGATCCGCTTCACCAGGGAGGGGCTCCTGACGAACGTCTTCCCATCCAGGAGATACTCGAAAAGAGAAGCTTCACCAAGAACGTCGTCGACACCACCACGGAAAGCCTTCTGGCGAACACCTTCACCAGGGAGAGGCTCGACACGAACAGCTCTTGACCAGGAAGATCCTCGGGACACCGGCGGACAGCTCCATGGGGGGGAGAGGCTCAAGATAAACAGCTTCACCATCATGGCGGAGAGCAGCACGAGGGCCAGGGAGAGGACCCGCACGCCGCTCGCGAAGTGGATCCGCAGGACCAGGTATCTCCCCAGGATCAGGGTGGAACCTCACGGCACGACTCGACCTCACGACGCCGTCCAATCGCGAAGAGACCGCCTCGAGGTGTCCTTTCAGAAAACCCGCGACTTCAGCCTGTGCCAGCCGTGCGTGTGGACGACCAGTTTCACCAGTGAGAGGCTCCTGACGAACAGTATCATCGGCAGGCCCGACAAAAACTGCTCCACGAAGGAGATCCTCAGAACTATGATGAACAGCATCAGGCGGCTCGCCGAGAACAGCTTCAGCAGTAAGATCCAGACGACCATGAAGAACACCAGAAGGCTCCTGAACAACAGCAGGCTCCAGATCAGCATCGGCATGTCGTTCTTCACCACCCAGCTCGCGCAACCCTAGCGCGGCAGTGTGAAGTAAAGTGTTACATAGGCTGGTATCCGATAGCACCGACATTGAAGGGGAACGACGGAATGGCAGGCAAATCGGAATGGTGACGAGGAGCAGTCCAATGAGGGATACCAAACGATTTCCACCGCCATCCAGAGAGCGCCCAAAGCAGGTGCGGCCGTGTCAAGAGTCTTCGCCCTACTCCTCAGCCCTAGCACGTGGCTGGCACTCAGCAGCACCATCCTCAACACCGTCGTCGGCATCGTCATTAGGGCCATCACACGGGGGCTCGGGAGGTGCACCTGCTGCAGGAGCGATGAGGATGAGGATGAGGATGATGCTGATGTTTTTGATGTTGTTGATGGTGATAATGGTGATGATGCTAATGATGCTGATGCTGATGCTGATGCTTGATGCTGATGCTGATGCTGATGACGATGATGAGGATGATGACTACGACGAAGGGCCACGTGTCCTGCCTGCGTGGCCCATCCGTGCTGCCTAATATTGCGGTTCACCACTGTTGCGTTTGTTCTCGGACCGGCCTCTTCGGAGACAGGTCAATCCCTCTGAGCAGTCCCTGATGTGGGCTACGGGCCTACCCTGGAAAGCCCTTAGACGATGCCTGCCTGCCTCTGCGGTAGACTTTGAACGACACAGGGAAGACAACCAGGACGAGAACGCCATGCTTGCCTTCCCGACATGACACTCGCGCTAATCGGGCCGACCTGCGATTCAGTCTAGGTGGAACTTGGCCGCTCACTCCACCAACAGAACACGCTCGCAGAACCTCAGTACGCTGAGTAGCGCGCCTCGGACGTGATCGGTGTCGCTCCAGTCCCCAATGCACCAAGCCCACTGAATCTGCAATGCGCGTGCACTGCCTCCTTGACGATCATCTTCTGTCCCTCTCGTGACCTTCAGCTCTATCTCCATCATGTCCGAACCTTCCATCCATTCCCTGTCACCGCCCCCTGTTGCTCCCTACAGGATCTCTTTTCTACTTCCCATCTCCACCATTCCCCCTCACCCTCTCTATCTCTCTCTGACTCTGACTCTGACTCTGACTCTGACCCTGTCTCTGTCTCACTCTCTCTCTCTCTCTCTCCCTCCCACTCTCTCTCTCGCCTTCTCTCTTTCCCTCTCCCTGAATGTATAAATATATACACACGTATTCACCAGAACCATGAGCGCGCCTCGCGTGCGCTTAGGTTCTAGCACGGTCCAGTATTTGACCACGTCATGCCTGCACGCAATGGCGAACCCCTGACGGGCTCAAACAGGGATTGAATAGATAGTAAGGCCGCGGACCGAACAAATACGGGTCTCTGGGGATATGTTCGTGTTTCCGCCTCCTGGTAACCGGGTGTCTACGGATGAGTCGCTGGGAAGCCTTTCACCAGAGCTCTGATACTATTAGATTTCCTCCTCCTCAACCTCGTCCTCCTTCATGCCAGTGAAGCCCGTGAGTGCCGAAATGCGTCCCGCACCTTGGATGGCCCTCCCGCTGCGGCTGCTTTAGGCTCTCCTCGACTCTTGCGCCCGCGTTCTGCCTTCCGCCTCCTCCTCCTCCTCCTCCTCCTCCTCCTGCATGTGTGCGAGGGTCCAGCTCGAAGACATCGTCCCTGCGAGCCAGCGCTTGGGCGGCCGTGACCCCCCATCTCAACTCCTCGGAGATTCTTGGCGGCCGCTTGGAGCCTCGTGTGGGCGTCGGGAGGGCCTCTGGTTGAGGTCGAAGCCTCTTGGAGGGCGCCCGTCGAGGTCTGGGGGGGGGGATCCTGGACACCTCGTGGGCGGTCTGTGGCGGTGAGGGGTGAGGGGGCAGGGAACACGAGAGGACTTCGGGAACAACCATTGCTGCTTGCCTCCAGGGGCGCTCGGAGAGGCATCCGAGGGCGGTCTCTGAGGGCGCCCTTGTGGGGCCTCGGGCGGATTTCTGCCCTTCATCCCGTTGCCGCGCCTTGCTTGTAGGGGGAAGTTTCTCGGTGGGCTTCTTAGAAGCCCCGCGGAGGCGGTCTTGGCATGTCCTCGGGCTGCCCGAGGGCCTCGTAGGGGGCCTCTGGGGGCCTCCTGCGAGGCTCTTGGGGGCATCCTGGGGTTCCTTTGGGGGCTTGATGCTGGCGGTCTGGGATGTCATCTCGGGACCGAGGGCGCCAAGTCTCGATTCGAGGGGCGCATTCTGGGGACTGCCTCCGAGACGTCTCGGGCGCCTCTTGGGAATGTCGTGGGGCTATCCTGGGCCGTCTTGGGGCGAGCCTGGGGGCCTCGCGGGCCGTCTCTCCAAGTGCCGGGAGCCCGAAACAGCGGCGATGCTGCCATCACTGAGAGGCGAGCCCCGGAATCCATGTTTTTCGGATCCGAGGGCGCTCTGTTGGAGGAGGAGGAGGAGGAGGAGGAGGAGGAGGAGGAGGAGGAGGGTGGCCTCACGGCGTCCTGTTGGAGCCTGTGGCCGAAAAAAGTTGAAACTGGCGCCTTCGGGTGCCCCAGGGCCGTGTGTGTTGCGCTGCTCCCCAAGGGGCACCCTGGCGCGAGACGACGAGCACCCGCGGCACCCGTGCCGGCCACGAGGTCCGCCCCCCACGTGTTGACCAAGACAGCGGAAGCAAAACGCACGCGCCCCTGCATGTGTGCATGAATACAGAGGATAGAAGGCCTCGCCTTCTAGGATAGAAGAAGGCGTTTCAAAAAAAGGCCTCGCCTTCTAGGATAGAAGGCCTCGCCTTCTAGGATAGTAGATAGAAGGCCTCGCCTTCTAGGATAGAAGGCCTCGCCTTCAGAGGATGTGAAACGGGGCGTTTCAAAAAAGGCCTCGCCTTCGAGGATAGAAGAAGGTGCAATCTCTTCCGCGGCGGAGGGCGGCGGAAGGGCGGCGGGAGTAAAACGAGGCCGCCTCCGCCGGCGGAAGGCTGGCGGAAGGTGGCGGAAGTAAAAGATGCGCCCCAAGAGATGAAAACGTGTTTGGGTTCAGGACTCTCTGGCGCACTACTTCATGGCTCCCCGACTCCGTGCTGGCCTTGTTGCCCACCCGCCAGCGCGCCTGTCTGCCCAAATCCTGGCGTCCTTACCTTTCTGCTGATGTTTGTTCACAACAAACAAGCATTGCGTGCGCAACGGGAACATGACGACTGCGTGCGCAACGGAACAAGCATCCTGCTCACGTCTGAGGGAGTGTTTGTGTGCTGAACGAGGTGTGCTCTTACGCGGAGGGAGAACACACAACGAACGTGCCGAACATGCTGCAGCACGCACGCCGGCAGAAAAGAGGCTGCTCTGGATAGCCGTGCTGGCGCCGCAGACAGGCCACTCAGAGAGCTGCCACGAAGAGGCAGCACGGCAGAATGTCAGGGAAGTGCCAAGGGTGAGGCGCGGCAACCGCGGCGTGCAGAGAGGCGGCCGCCTTGCCGGAGCCCTTCTGCGTGGTGGCGACCTGGCCCGCTGTGAGAGCGGTACAGTGGATCGCAGCATATTGTGTATCGAATCTGCAGGCTCGTGCCTACTCTGTGCGGGATGTGGGGCGAGGGCGACGAGGCCGCCGTCTTCCGAGGCAGCAACGCCAGCGGGCACAGACGAGAGCGCCGATGGAGCCGAGGAGGGCGCCGTCGGAGTCTGGAGACGCGACGCGGCCCCGAACCCGGGAGACGTAAGGCTCGGGCTCGGGGGACTCGGGTTGGCCTGACCAGGCCTCCTCCCTCCTCCTCCTCTCCTTCCTCCTCCTCCTCCTCCTCCTCCTCCTCCTCCTCCTCCTCCTCCTCGTACTCCTCCTCCCCCCCTCCTCCCCTCCTCCTCCTCCTCCTCCTCCTCCTCCTCCTCCTCCTCCTCCTCCTCCTCCTCCTCCTCCTCCTCTTCCTCCTCCTCCCCCTCCTCCTGGCGAGACCGAGTCTGAGACTTGGCGCGAGCGCCCGCTGCAAACGCCCCACGAGAACCAGACCGTCAGAAAGTCCAGGGCGCGCTCGTCAAGAAGCGTCGGCAAGCCCGAGGTGCGGCGGGCTCGAGTCTTACGTCTCCCCGACCTGAGCGAAACAGCCCTCCCCCCTCTGTGAGGCGGTCCCGGCTCGGTCGTCGGAGGTCGTCGGCACCCCCCTGGCGGGGCGTGGGCGTGGAGCTCTGCTCCGATCCGCCGAGGCTGGGCGATCCCAGGCAACCGTATCGCTGTCACCATCGTCCTGTAGCTGCTCGTGCTCTTGCGTGTGTTCGTCGTCGACGACATGGCAGGTACCCTCCTCGCCGTCGTCTTCACACTTATCTTATCTCATCTTTGCACGCGCAGCCCCTTTTGAAAACTAGCGGCGCCAATGCCACCGCGCCGTCACCATCGAATATGTCGAGCCGAATGCGGAATACGGTCACGAAAACTCCTGCAAATGATTTTGGAAAGTAGTTATACTTGAATTTCGAATGCTTTTGTATGTGCGGTTCGATTTGCGATGCAATCCGCATTCTGGTTGAAAACTGATTAATCAATGTCGACCACATCTCAATTTACGTGAACATGTAGGGGTAACTATCCCGCTTGCAAAATGAAGGACGTCCCAATCTAGATGTGCCGATCCTTGGGCATCCCGATTGCAATTGCATCAACTTCGATGTTGTCAATGTTACGTTCGATTGCATTTCGATTATCATGTCGATGTGGTATAGTCCCGTGTCGGTTCGCCTCCCAGCTGCAATTGAATTTGCATGTCGATGGGTATCTCGAGATTGAAGGTCCATTTGAACATCGATTCGAACTTCGTTTTATTTCGACGGACATTCAAGTTTCAATTTACTGGTTGTAGAAATCAATGCACATTGCAATGGGTCTGTCAATTGCAGTCCGATGCTCATTTCGAAGTGTATTCTAAATTCCACTTCGCCTTGAAATTCAAATTGCAGTTCGCCTTGTCCCCGATTGCAATGGAATTTGCATGTCGACATGCATGTCGAGTTGCATTTCGACTTGCATCTCGGTTTGCACTTCGATGTGTTCCTCCGAACTGCATTTCGATGGGCATTGCAATTTGAATTCCGATGTCAATTTTGCCTGTGGATGTCACGTCGATCTGCAATGTAATGAGCATGTCGACGCATTTCAACACAGATCGCTTGCATGTCGAATTGGATTTCGATGTGTTAGGACTTTGCAATTCGATGCGCGTTGTTCCGTGCATATCGGTTTGTAATCCGATTCCCAGTCCAATTTACATTTGGATGCCCACTTCGATTTGCACTTCGATGTCCATTCCGATTTGTATTTGGATGGCCATTCCGATGTGCAAGTCGACCTCAATGTTTGCGTGCGTTTAGAGTTGCATTCCCACTGCCATTTCGCCATGCAAGTCGATTCACATTCACCACTCCACCTAGACAACATATCGGACAACCGCGGGACAACTCGTAGGACAACCACGGGACAACCCACGGCCAACATCAAGACACCCCCCAAGACAACCACGGGACAACCAGGGGGCAACAAACGGGACAACCGACAGGACAACCACGGGACAAACCTTGGGACAACCACCCACAGGACAACTACCCACGGGACAACCCACGGCATTCACGGGGCAAACCACTGGACAACACTTGGGGAACAAAACACAGTACAACCGACGGGGTAACCACAGGACAACCGCGGGACAACCATGGCATGCCACCACCAGACAGGAAGAGAAATCGTTTGCCTGACTTGGCCCTGGCCTTGGCTGACAAATCGTCGCCATCGTGCAGATTCGCCTCGCCCGCACGCACGACGCGAGCATAAACTAAAACCGAATTCCCGACTGGAATCGCTTCGTAAACACCCACGCAATCTCTGTTGGAGTGGTCACTGAGGAAAGAGCAGCAACCAGTCAAGCGAGGATTAATCGAGCAACATCCAGGCCGCTCGGCTTCGCTGCGATGTGGCATGCGTGAACCGCTCGATCACGAGCCTTTCAGTAGGTGGTTGATCCGTCCTTTCACTAAGCAAGGGCCGATTAGCCTGCGGAGTGCCACTGGAGGCTTGGGGGCGGTCGGCGTAAGCTCAGGTTTACAGCACTTGTCGGCCCAATTTCCCGCGCCACTTTGGAAACCCAAGCGGTGCCGCACGGGGGAGCTTGGTTGCGCAGCCGCGCAAGCCTCGTGCGCGCGGCAACGATTTTAGAGAACCGAACACGGCACACATATGAACTGTCAGAGGTCCGCGCAGAATTCTTGGATCAGCGTTGGAACCCCATGGCAGCGCCTCCAGCGCCGCCGACCACAGTTTGGACAAGGAAAGCCAGGTCCCCCGCACTGGGGACCCCTCACTGGGGAAACCTTGGCCCCGCCAGCCCACCTGCCCCTCCTGGGTGGGAGAGGGGGGGGGCGTCTCCTGTGGCTTCGTCGGCCCCCACCCACGTCTCAAGGGACTACATTGGGGAAACTATATTTACGACCGGGTGGAGATGGGGATGGCCCTGACGATGATGACCAAAAAACCCCGCGCAGGACTCCGAACATGTATAAATTCCTGCCGTTCTTTCTTCCTCGGGCAGCGGAGCACGCCCCGTGCGCGCGGCAGCGACTCCGCGTCCCAACGGGAGGACCGACGAGCGCCCACCCTGAGGGGGGGCGGCGCTGGGGGACTGGCCCAGCGGGGGAAGCAATGACCCGGAGGCGGGAGGCGGGAGGCGGGAGGAAGGGGGGCGGGAGGAGGGAGGCGGGAGGGAGGAGGGAGGAGGGAGGAGGGAGGAGTGAGGAGGGAGGACAGAGGAAGGAGGAGGGCGGCGGCGGCGATCGCATCAGGAGCACGGGTCCTCAACCTCTGGCAGGCAGCTCAAACGCGGCCAACTAGAACCAGCAACGAATTATATTCCAAGCTCCTCGCGTGCGCTTAAAGCGGTGCATCGCACTGAGCGGGGGGGGGGCTAAATGTCTCACGGATCTTTTGGGACATATCCAATGCCGCAGACATCCCGACAACACTTCGTGGCTACTAAGGAGCGAATCGACCCAGGAAAAAGAGAGAGCAGGGAAAAGGTAGGCGGCCTCGCTGGCCCCGCCGACCAGTCACCGCTGGATCATTGGCCAGAGGTGCTGTTAGGTCTCCTCGGGGCCCTATCCACGAGTCCAAGGACGCAGGCCTCCAAAGAGTTCGAGCGGGGTCACACGAGGGCCTCGAAGGGCGAGGAGGAGGAGTCGGGCGATTCGAAATACGATGTTCAGGCACCCCTAGACTCTGCCCAATAAATTTCGCGCGGCGCTCACTCTGTTGGGACACAGACGGGACAGCAGATACAGGCAAAGCCTCCTCAGTCGTGGAACGCCTGGAAGTAGTCCGCTCAGTTTCCCCACGCTGATGTGTACGAAACTGAGAGAAACTGGGGCTCGACCTCGGCGCAGTCATTCTCATGTGTCCAGAACCAGTAGAACGATTCTCCATACCAGCACGGTTCAGTAGTCTGCTGCCTTGTCCAGCAGCACCTGTACAACCATTCTCCAAGTCAGTGTTATTCAATAGCCCGCCGTCGTATCCAGCAGCACCTGCACGGGCCTCTCGCGATGGCGCTTTGGGGGCTGGCCGCGCTTGATGGTCGCCCCGAGCGGCCCCAAGGAGTCGAGCAACTCCGTCTGAATGTCTCCTTGGTCTCGGGGTGAATATTCATCGCTTTGCGATCGCGTGTGTAGCTGAGGCGACAGCGGCGGATCGCCTGACACACTGCGTCGTCGGCCACCGCGTTGTCTCCTTTCACTATGCCCATCCAAGTCGCAACCGCCTGCGCACTGATGGCCCCCTACCCCCTCGCCCTGCCGTCGAACCCCCCCCCCCCCGCACACACACACACACACACACACACACACACACACACACACACACACACACACACACACACACACACACACACACACACACACACACACACACACACACACACACGCACACGCACACACACACACCCACCCACCCACCCACACACACACACACACACACCACACACACGCACACGCACACACTAGGGTCAGGAAGAGGTGGGGATGAGGAACGCCCAGTGCGCCGAACTCTGGTACCTGTTGGCGGTCGCGAAGGGCTTGGGAGTTTTCTCGTCGCAATCGCTGTCCTTCCTCTACATGGTATATGCCCGTGATGCGCATGGCCTTGCATATGTCGCGCTCCTTGCCCATGTGCACTTGATGAAGCGCCGCCGCCCCCAGGGCTGGCACCCCCTGCACGGCGCGCAGCGTGGCCCTCATCACCGCGGGGAAGAAGGCCTGGATCAGTTCCAGCGGGGCCCTCCCCTGCGCCAGCGAGGTCAGGTCCTTCCTCCGCAGCCCGAAGGCGTTGCCCGCGTTGTCGAAGGTCTCCTGCAGCAGGCGCGCGAGGCCGGGGTTCTCGAGGCTCGGGTTCGGCACCTGCCTGGGGCGGCCTTCCTCTGCCGCGCGCGCGGCCTGCTGCGGGCCGAGGGCGCCGTCTGCCGCGGCCGCGGCCACCGCGGCTGGCGCGCCACGAGGCGGTCGCCCCCCCCCCCCCCCCTCCCCTGCGAGTCGGTCTGCCCGGTCTCCGCTGCCAGATCTGAGGGCGCGATCTCTGGCAGCGGGCCCTTGGCTCATGGCCCTCTGCGAGCTCCATCGTAGACTCCGGGTTCTTCGGAAACACCGGCAGGGGCATGGGGGGCACGCGAGTCGCTCATGTGACGCTGGAGTTCAGAAGACTCTCAAAAGGGTCCGAATGTCTCAAGCCTGGTGGCAAGCACTCCACGAGCCCTGCAAGAGCTGTCTCCAAGTCAATGCAGAAGGGGCGGTGGAGTTCCGCGGGCTCTTGAACAGGAGGGGCATACGGGCTCACGCCACAGAGACATCTCCCACGGCGCAAAGACTGGACGATATGTCACTCAGTTGTGACCCGGCTCCTAAAAGTGCTCATGCAGTAGGGGCGCTGGTTAATGATGGCTAGCATGTAAAACGGGGCCCGCATCTCATGGGTAGGATGGTGACATGGGTGAGCAATAAGGGCCCCCTTATTGTAGTACACTAGTCCACACATCCCATCCCCACCATCTCCTGGAAGATCACAGACATGTTCCTGCAGGGGCTATTCTGGGGCTCCGTGAAGGGGGCGTTGCGTAGACCTCGTGGCACTCCGATGCTGGGAGGCCTTTCTCAGTTTTGCGATCTCGAAGCCGACGAACTCCGCCCCCGCCTCGGGGGGCGCGAGAATGTCCTGCACATTGTAGGCCGTCAAAAACCCGGGACCACCGCGAAGATATTTGAGCGCGTCCAGGTCCTGCTCAAACTGGCGGGCCCACGGATTCGCAGCTCTGGCAATCCTGCGAGAGTCCGTGAAAGTGGAAGGCTCTGCAAGTCTTTCCAGCGAACCGAACGGCGCGGTCAGCGCCTGCTCGCAGTCGGACGGGCAACGAACGAAACGCTGCCACTGTCGCAACCGTCGAATCAAAAGCTCGGCCCTGGAGCCCGTGGCCCCGAGCGCCCTGAGAACCTGAACTTCTGACGTGGATTTGCACTTTGGTTTTAACTCTGGACGTGCGGGGTCGAATTCTGGTTGACGGCCACGAAGGGCAACGCGCGCGAAGCCCGGCGCCACCGCGTCGAACCTGCGCAAATCTAGCTTGCCTGGAAGGTACGTCTCTAGGCCCGAGTTGTCTGCGCCAAGGATCAGCCCCGAGAATTCCGCCCACTTGAATCTTGCCGAACGCGTAGTCTCCAACAACCTTCCAATCCTCCCCCGAGCCGTCCGAGTAACCTCCAACCTCCTCTTCACCTCCGCGCTACATCCTCCACTTAGCTGTTCCATACCCCCCAGGCGCAATGACTCTGCCGAAACAACTCCTGGAAGCTGAATCCCCTGGGACAATAAAGCCCCGGTCGCTGCGTAGGCACCTGGGCCCACCATCACGGGCATGGGGTTCGCCTTCGCGGGGTTTTGCAAGTACCCGCCCCCCTCCCACAACGCGCGGTCGAGGCTGGCGTTCGACCGAGTAATTCGGGCCCTCGCCTCCAGCGGGTTGGGCGCCGTCAGCGCCGGCGCGTTGTGAATATCAGCTGCAGATAGCTTGGCTGATACATCATGATTGGTGCGTGTGATCGCACATGTCATGATACTGGCAGCACGAGCAAGCGGAACAGGGTGCTCGAGCATCTCATCTTGATGCAACGTGGGATCCTGGAGCTGTTCGCCCCTCCGCGTCTCGACCGGGCGCAAAAAAGTTTCTCGCGAAAAGGTCCCTAGTGTTCCCATCCCCCATCCCTGATCAATGCTTGGATGAAGGAATCCAGACTGCTCTCCCGCCTGTATCTCCATCGCCGCCTCCTCATGACGCCGGCGACAAAAAGGTGCGGTCTTGGGCTGCTTCGACCGCTTCATCTACAGATTGCGAGAGGGCTGCGTGTGACGTCGAGGGAAACATTACTCGTGTCTTTCTTGATCTGGATATGCGACATTCCTCTCTCGCGAAGACGCCAGCTGTGCACCTTAGCAGCCAACTATGCATTCTGTCCGCTGCGATGGGGGGCATAACTATCCATGAGCACGTGGGGGTAGCGGAGGTCGACTAGAACGCAAATGATGCCCGCGATACCAGGACTTCCCAAAGGGGCAGTAGCAATGGATGAGCTCAATAGCCTTGGTGGTCTGCTTCAAGTTTCCTTTGGAGAGCTGGAAAGTACGACTCCAGTGCCGTTGACAGGGGGGTCTCGTTTTGGACCTGATCGGTCTGGGGATCTTCTGGAGCCTCTCGAGGAACTTCGGGCGCGGAACATGTAGTTGGCGGAGTTTGAATTGCCGATAGGCACGGTGTCTAAGATGTTCGCCCTGGGGCCACTGTCCTACCAACTGCTTGGTCGCATGCTGCAAGATCAAATGCCAAAGCTCCGAGGGAACAGAATATTGGGAGTATATATTCGACGTGCGGCTTTCTTCAACTGGTCGAGAGTACGAAACCAATCATCGTGAGCCAGTGAGGCAGCGTGGGTCCCTGGGTAGGATTCTGGGCCCTCCTCCGCAATCCTCTCGAGAGTTTCCAACATCGGCTGCTCTGGTGAATTCAAGTACTCGGGCGCTGAAACCTCCCTTCCTAGTTGTCGACGCCATCGTATCATACCATTTTGTCAGCGACGGGGAATACTGAGCAGGAACATGAAAACAAATAGCTGTCGGGCGCCTCTGCATCGAGAGTCCACCGCATAGATCGCCTTCCAAAGATTGTATCAGCAAGTCTATGATGTAAGGCCGCTTCTTCCATCAACTCACCTATACGTGAAATGTCGAGACGCTTCTTCTGTGTTTTGATGTGCTTCTCCAGGTCCCTGGGTTTCAAACGATCAGCCTCCGTATAACAACGACACTTCGCAGACTCTCTCTGTTCCAGGAGGGCCTTTCGCTGTTCGAGAAAAGGCGTCAGTGGGGTCTGACGGCTCCGGCGTTCAGCCCACGGCAGGGCAGCAACTCTAATATCCTCGACCAGGTGTGCCCAGGCAGCGGACGGGTCGGGCATCATCACATCTGTATTCCACTGCTGCAAGCTGGCCTCTGAAAGTCTCTCCAACTCTGCAGGGATGGGTGTTCCGTCCGTGCCTTGGTGACGTAGGAGCTTGGCAGTGAAATCTGTGTCCCACTGCGGACACTTGTCCCCGTGTGGGGGCGCCTCCAGGATATACCTCCCCTGCCACAACAAGGGTGCGTGATCCCTCGGTCGAGAGTCGGGGATGGCCTGCAGGCTGCGCATCGCGCGCTTGAGTGTCCTGCACCTGGTGGTAAGAGCGATCGCATCAACAGGCGCCAGGATGTGGTCTGGCGAGCTCGTGGCCTCTGTAGTGTAACAGGTAGGCCCAACAAGAAAGAAACTGTCTGTAATCGCGAGGTCCTCCAATTCCATGATGCGCCACAGCTCTGCCGAAACTTCGTTCTCAAGCACCTGAGCAAATGGGCCTAATTTGCAGGGGGTGCACGTGGGGGACGGGAGGCCATGTCCAACGCGTCGACCACCGAACTGGCAATTGGAGCCGACAGCAAGAATAACAAGAGATCCCGCCTTGGTCTCCTAAGCACAACGATGAATCCAAGCAGCTAACATTCTACACGTCGAGCGCCAATGATCAACCTTCATATTGCTGGGAGGAAGGAAGTAACCACTGAAAACCGTAAGATCAAAAGCTCCAGATCTAAGTCGCATCGCAGCGCCTCGTCCAGCGAGGTGCTGAGGTGGAAAACGTAAGCCCACAACATGAGAACATCTAAACACTCTGTTCCTGACCATGATTACAATCCCTTCACTTTTGCTGGTGTTCCCCCCCCCGCTTCCATCCAAACTGGTACAGTGCGTGGTGTGAAGTGATCATCGTCGTCACGGGCTCTCCCAGCCTCTGTCGTTGGGTAGTAGCGGGCAGAACCACGATGTCAACAAACGTCAGAGTCTGTGACATATCCTCCGCCCTCCACGAACCAAATAGGTGCAGAGGATTGTACAACACCACATTCAAGAAAGAGCTGAACATCAATAGTAGCATGAAACAATGTGAGCGTGTACGGTGGAGCCCCCCCACGCTTTCTTGGCGTGTGGAGCGCGGTGCCGCGGGGGAGCATATCCCAGCCATCGAGGGCAGAGGTGCGGAAGAGCAGGAGGTGTAGATAGGAATGTGTGAAGAGAGAGAGAGAGAGAGAGAGAGAGAGAAAGAGAAAAAAAAAAAAAAGAGAGAGAGAGAAAGAGAGAAATAGAGAGAGAGAGAGAGAGCGTAAATGCGCCTGTCTTAGGCGGCTTGCGTGTTTGGCTGCTTGAGCCAGGCCTTGAGCCAGGAGGCTTGAGCCTTGAGAGTCGACGAACAATAAAAACAATCCCCAACATGTTTTTTACAAACAAACAAAAAACTAGCCTGGGGACTATGTTTAAAATATTTGTTTACCTTTGGGGGGTATTCTTGGTGTATGTTGTATTTTTCGACGAATCCCCCTGTCGGGGGACACGCCCGACATAACAATAACCAAGAAATCGTCCCCGGACTATACCTTCACTACTTTTGAACAGCCCCCCTGCAGGGGGGAATGCCCGATTCGACCCCACGAGGCAGCTGCGCACCTGCGCGAGCGCGAGAGAGAGCGCACGTCCCCTGCCGGCTCGGCGGCGGTGCCGCGGGCCGCGAGCGGTGCACTCACGGCGCGGCGAGGGTCGGCGGAGAGCGGGCACTGGAGGAGGAGGAGGAGGAGGAGGAGGAGGAGGAGAAAGGGAAGAGGAGGAGGAGAAAGGGAAGAGGAGGAGGAGGAGGAGGAGGAGGAGGAGGAGGAGGAGGAGGAGGACCCCAGAGCAGAGAACTGCATACACACATACACTTCGAGGAGTCCGCGAGGATGTCTGGGATCGGCGCCGGCCCCCACTGGAACGCAATCTGTGGCTATGCATCTGCTCTGTTCTTCGGCAGAAGATCAGGAGGCAACTGCTGGGAGGTCTTCGCGGGAACGATCAAGGCCTATCAGACCCCCAACAAAACAGGCTACGGAACCGATCCGAAAAAGTTCAGCCCAGGACGAAGAGCAGGATTCAGCGAGATCAAGCTGGATTGGGACGATTCTCGGGTACGGGTATATCAGCGCCGATGCCCAGGCTCAGTCTCGCAAGGGTTGCATCCACAACAGGACCGGCAAGAAACGACATGGGCAAA